TGCTCGATCTAGCTTTTGCTTCAATCAAATAGATTAATCTACAGTTCTACGACCCCTTCGAATGAGGTGCATCCGCTATTACAAGTAATTTGTAAGCAAAAAACAAAACCGACTTCAATTCTCATATAAAAAAAATATATATATATTTCATGATCCAATGATCGGATCTAAACCAGATCAGATGGTCTCAGCACATCTCTGAGATACTACATTTCCGATGCAAAAAGAATTATCGAAATCGGTTGACGTGGTCCAAAGTTATGCGGTAACATACATAAAAAACAAATAAAAATATTCCGACGAACTGATAACCTCCTCTTTTTTTGGAAGTCGGTTGAAAAAGGGAAATGTTCGGTTATTCGTATAACGGTTTTCTGGTGGGAAACTGAGGTCGTGACACCTAAAACCCCACCCATCAGAAAGAGTGCAGTCCAAACTTTAAGAAGTAACCTCTCACCTCCCTGACTCTCTAAAGACCATTGGGGACTTATTTGAAAATGGGGAGATTTCTGTGGTCATAAGCTATAATCGCACAAGTCGAAAAATCTGAATACGAGAAAAAACCACTTCCGGCTACGCCATCCACAGTATTTTTGCATATAAAAGTGCATGTTTCAAACCGAAATTTTTGATAAATTGCTGCTTGGAAGTTTACTGCTTGATGTTTAAACCTTCTGCTACATGTGTTATTTTTTTTTTTATTCGGGTCACACGTTTGAATACAATTACCAAGATCATTGTGCAGATAACCCAACCGGACCCCAAGAAACGAACCTGGGCCGTTCCGATAGCTAAACACAGTTAATCCCTAAAAAATTCCTTTCAGTGTCATAAAATTAAAAAAGAAATACCCAAAAAGTCTATACAAAATTTTAAATCTTGGAGAGACACCTTGCCGAATAAATCTCGAATGGTTCGAAACAAATTTAAAAAAAAAAAAAAAAAAAAAACCCCCGAAAAAAAAAAAATAAGAAAACAAAAACACAAACAAATTCCGTAAAATCGTACTTGGTCGAGAAAATTCCCCTAGAAAATATCGAAAAAAAAAAACAAAAAATTGCGAAGGCACGAAGGCGAAGTTCTAAACGAATCCCGAAAGGTCACAAAAGCCTCCAAAAGCTACCAAGAAACTAAATAAAACTCAGTATGAAGTCACAAAAAGTCGAACCAATCAATAAAATCCCGAAGGTTCCGATAAAAATTCAAGGAAAAACTCGAAAAAACACGAAAAATCTGTTGCCCAAATTTTGCGCAATAAATCCCGAAAGGTTTCTGCGGCAAAAACAAGAAATTCAAGGATTTGCGGCGAACGATATTTTCTGTACGGTCTAATATACATACATACATATGTACATACATATATGTACATATTTGTAAGAAGATATTTTAAATCCGAATTTAAAAATTTTTAATTGCTCATAAATTTGCAATTCAATGAATCACAGTTTATTCAAAGTTATTTATGTATTTACTCTTGTAATAAATTTACAGCAAAAAGAATTTTTTAATTCATCGACACCGAAACTACGAAGCGGTACCCTCAGTTTGGAATTAAAGGTGGGTAACTCAGCACTGTGCTGAGTTACTGTGCTGACTCTTAGAAATGTGCCGCACGCTCAGACTCACCTCTGAAAAAAATTTGTAACTCAGTAACTCAGTTTATGTGCTGACAATGTATAGCTCAGTGTGCTTCAGTGTCGATATGGTAACTCAGTTGATGTGCTGACACTTGCATAGCTCGGTTCGGCTGCATTGTTTACAACTGTGTCGATGTGGTAACTCAATTGATGAGCTGACACATTCACACAATACGATCTTCCAAAAAGTACCATAATAGATGGCGTCACGAGACTTACCATCAGTTGAATATACGACTACCAAATTTAACAAGAAGCAAGGCGAATAGCCCAGTTATGCATACTTGCACTGCTATACCCTTTTTACGTAAAAGTCAAAACCAAACAGAATTCTACATGTGAAGTGCTATGCGTTGGGTAACCGCTTACATGCATAGCCCATTTAACAGATTCTTATGTGACAACTCTCAAGCAAAACTAAGTAGGGAATTTATTCGCAAATGAACTCACCAGTTGAAATCAGCTTTCTAAAATTTTGCCGGCCAGCTACGAATAGAAGCTAAGGATAACCTTTTCTAAATCGATTTCGATTACTAACATCGTCAATAATTTCGATGCACATACCAATTGTGCGATAGCACACTTGTGCCAGCTCTCTGTGCTGACTCATTAAAGTGAGTTGGAGTTACTGAGTCAGCACACCAAAATTTACAGAGTTACCCACCCTTATTTGGAATCAAAAATGCACTACCGGAAACAGTTTGGCACCAAATTAATTTTCTTCCCTATAACAGTTTTGGGACCTCTGTTTAAGTCTTCCAAAAAAACTCTACTACTCACGAAACACAGCTGGCCAACGCAACCTTGCGTTTTTGTGGTACATATCTGCCAAATGTCATCGGTGACATTTTCAATGTGGGTGTTGTTTTTCATTGCGTGTTGTTGTTTTTGCGAGAAATTTTGATAAAAATTAGTGAATCAGCGTCAATTTTAATAAAGATTAAAAAGCGTTAGTTAATAAATTTCAAAGTAAATACCATGGCTGCCACATTAAAGCCTTACTTGACTGCAGTTCGCCATTCGTTGACCGCTGCTATGTGTTTGCAAGATTTCCCCTCCCAGGTGGTGGAACGGCACAACAAACCTGAGGTAGAAGTGTGCTCCAGCAAAGAATTGGTGCTTACACCAGTTGTAATTTCACGCAACGAGCGGGAGCGTGTTCTAATAGAACCCTCCATCAATTCAGTACGTGTTAGCATAGCGGTTAAGCAAGCCGACGAAATCGAGAAGATCCTGTGTCACAAATTTACTCGCTTCATGATGCGTCGCGCTGAGTCGTTCATTATTTTGCGCCGGAAACCAATTGATGGCTACGATATCAGCTTTCTCATAACCAACTTTCACACAGAACAAATGTATAAGCATAAATTAGTGGATTTCGTAATCAGCTTTATGGAGGAGATTGATAAGGAAATCAGTGAAATGAAATTGGCAGTAAATGCGCGTGCACGCACCTGTGCTGAGGAGTTTCTTAAACGATTCTAAAAATATTTAAAGCAATGGATGTTTACATATACATATGTACGTTTTATCTAAAAGTCGCTTAGAAAAGTAAAAAAAAATCACTTTGTATTCCAGTAAGCAGTAAAGATTGTATCGGAATGGATATGAGGTGCACGCTAACATGGCCAGCCAATAAAGTATTCAGCATTAAGAAACCAAATGCTTAAATTAATACTATGTGGAAATTCAAATTTAATTTTACACTTTTTGTATTTTCAGTTAAGATTTCTTGGATATGTGTAACCATGCATAAGCTTCTTGCTCTAAATTTTTATACAGCTTAGGATTATTTCATAAATAAAATAGTTTAAATTATGTAAATACAACGCATTATCTAAGAAACAATCCTTATCTTCTTATATGAATTTTTGCTTAAAGTACGTATAACTATTGACTCCACTGCCGATTCATACGTTTCTTGTGCTAAATTTATATAGCTTTGAATCATATAAATAAAATGTGTAGTTTAAATTATGTAGATACAAAAACTTGAAAAACCATTTCGAAACAGCCCATACAAACATCGGAATAGCTTATAGCTCAATTTATATTTAATGTTATCTGCGGACTCTTAATCTATTGCTTATGGGCCAATCCACCAAAGCATCAGTGCATTTTCATAATCTATTATTATGTCTTCATCTTGCATAGCACTCTTTTTAGACTCAGGAGATTCTTCATTATGCGATGAATTCACGAAATGATGTTGCCCTGAAGTTGTAGCCAGTATAGGTAAGCTGGGATGAAAGTTAACTCCGTTACAGCAATCGCCATGCAGAGGTTGCTAAAAGTACATTCATTAAAAAAAACTGATTTTAAAAAAAATTTTGGTAGTTGTATTCTGTTTGGTCATTTATCGCGGCTTGTAAATGAAATACAGCTATTACCAAGCTGTACGAATTTCTCGAAAGTTTAACAAAATGACAAATCTAAAGCGAATTATGGTGCTGATGTAGCATCCTACAAATTCGCCAAAGAGTTTTTGGGCAATCAAGCTGGAGAAAAACCATTGGCCAGATATGATTCTGTATCGTTCCGGTTACGTAGACCCCACTGTCGTGGAAACGTAGGAATCCGAATTATCTTACTCACCGCTTCTTCGACGTTGTTCTGTAAATCCCATATTCGTAGCTTTCCCGTGGTATCGCCGCTTACCAGCCAACGCTGCTCCTGCGGGCTTAAGTCGAAGTAGATGCGTTGATTCGTTCCAATATTGCGTGTAAATTCTCTCACTGGCTTGAGATAATTCCGCATATCCCATTCTAAGATTTTGTTATCCTTACGCGCGCCACTAAATAATGACCAACTGTCGCTATCTGCTAAAGCAGCATATCGTAGCCACGTAATACCGCCAGTATGGCCGCCTAGAGTAAATAGTGACCCCAGTTTAGGTGCGCGCAAATCGTAATGATTGATATAGCCCATCCAAGATCCCGTTGTTACAGTGCTATCGTTGTTTGTGGTGAGAGCAAAACAAGAAACAGCTTGTTTCACTGGAAACGAACTCGAGTCACGACCAGGCCTGTTAATGATACATATTTTCATCTTGCCAAAAATATTAGGAACATTTCTTACACATTGGTGTCAAATACTTTTATAGACTTTTTATAACCGCCAAAAACTTGTTCACCATCGTTTGAAAATGTGACAGCTATTGCAGATTCCACCTCATCTACACTATCATAACCGCGATAGGTGCAACGCAGCTCACCGGTAAATGCATCCCACATATGGATGGGCTCATGTTGTCGTGTTGCCAGCCAGCTATTATTATTATTATTACAAGAAAAGTCTTAATCAAAACCATATGCAAAGTAATGCCAAAGTAGATTTACCAACAAGTCACCGGCGACTGGCTATTCATAAATGGATACCATACGTAATCATAAACAGTGCCACCTTCCTTAACATGCACTGCCGTTTCTAGTTTACTTAGCGTCCGCGTCGCTGTAACCTGTTGTTTGGCGCAATCTGTATAGACATCCGACGGTAGCTCAATAACATGCATGCCTGTGAAAACAATACTCACATAATCCTGCAAAATAATCAAGTTTTCACTTTACCATCTAAATGTACAGGCAGCAATATACATAAGCCATCTGGGGACCATAAACAGCCTTTTGTGTAGTGTTGTTTCTCTGCAGAAGATTTCCACAATCGACGCCCTAGTTCTATTAAAGCATTTTGAAAGAATTCCTCCTCCTCTACTTGGTATTGGACTTCAGTAGGTGCTTCAACATCGTTGGTTTGTTCTGTGCCGTTCAACATTTCAATTTGTCCCAAGCTCTCTTCGGCTTCCACTGCTTCAATAGTCGCACTCTCGTCCAAAGAAATGGCCGCACAATTTGCCGATAGTTCGCAGGAGTCGTCCTTAGTAGTTGACTCATTATTTGTTGCCGATTGTTCATCGGCCACTGTTGTGCTCATTTCCATACTGCAGAAGCTAACCTTTTTATCAAGGCTAAAAGAATACGTGCTGTCTCGAGGAGTTGACGCTGTGTATAATTATTTGAATAGTTATTAGATACATTTTAAAATGCAAATTTATTTTCTAGTAACTTACTATTCTCAATAAAGCTAAGATCCATTTTATAACGAATCTGAAATTCTATAATTACTTTGGTAAATTAGAACTATTGATAGAAATATAAATTTGCCGGTAAAATCTATTTCAAGCTCAGTCGACAAACAGATGGCAGGATTGTCATGATGAAACGAATACATGTATGCTATCGGCAGTGTTACCGCTGCAAATTTTTCGAAAGTCGCAAAAAAAGTGGAACAGCCGAAAAAAAGTGTCTTCAAGTCCTTCAGATCGTTTATACCATGTATGCAAAGACTTTCATTATTTTACCCTTCGAAACTCAGTAGGGAATATTCATAGTCGAAATAAAATCGACTCAGACGTTAGCTTTAGCTTTTTTCAATGGAAAATCTGCCAAAAAATTTGCTTAGAGTTGACTTTATTGCATCCATGACTCTGCCCCATTATTTTTAATAAATTGTTAATGGAAATCATAATTTTCTGTCAAAAATAGTTTTTCCTCTTAAAATAATAACCTATTGATGAGGGATATATTAAAAAGACGCAATACGTATATTTTGCATTTAGTATGAAAACAAAATTACTTACATCATTAAAAAAAAAAAAATAAAAAATTTAACACAAATAAATTGGGGGAAATGCTAAGATACAAAAACGGTGCATTAATTCATGCTACTTCTGGGCATTCATTCGGAAAATATTTGACATTCTATAAAGGTTGAAATCAGTCAAAATATGGCCACTGGTAATTTTTAAGTGCCTTTGAAAAGTAAATACTAAAAGCATTTTTAAACACGTAGGAAAAATATAATTTATGAAGGAATTGTCAAAATGTGTATATAGAATTTTAAATCAAAGAAAAGGCGAAAAAGTCGCATAATTTTATGGAAAAGTGTCAAAATAAGCCCATTTTTAAAAAGTCGGTGTCAAGGGGCATCGAACTCCAAAAAGTGTCAACTTGACACTTTAGTCGCACAACGGTAACACTGGCTATCGGTCTTGCAGGATTGTAGTTATGGAGAACTATCGATAGTATCGATGGTTTCATATTGCCGCTACTATCGAATTTTTCATAGCACTATCGATAGTTGTATATTTCATTCATATTGTTAGAATTGGACTATAAAATATGCATATAACATGTTTTTTGTTATAAAATGTGTTATTGAAATACACGAGCTCATTTTAATCGACTTCAAAAAAAAAAGGAGAAGGTTATCAAATGGTCGGAACATTATTTTTTTTTATGTATATTACCGCATAACTTTGGACCACGTTAACTGATGGTGGACAGGTGGTCCCATATTAATTTGGTTTTAATCCGATCTTAAAAATTTTGTTTTTTGCTTAAGAATTACTTTTTGTTTTACACAAGTTATATGTTGTGAACTGTTTGTTTATACTAATACACTTTATGGTATTTCTAGTTACAAAACGGGCATATTTTGACACAACTTTATCTCCTTTTCCCATACCTTTACCGATTACATTATGAGCCAAAACCGGACAGGTAGCCCATTAAGCTAGACATGTACACGACTGAAGATCTATTCTGATATAAGTCAAGCGAGAACCCCTTTTTAAAGTTTCATTTGACAATGTATTTTCACATATTTGGCGAGAAAAGCCATTGAATACGACAAAGTGAAAAAAAGCTTTCGATTGTATCGAATATTTTCACTATCGCTATCAAAACCATCGAATGTATACACTATCGATAGTTTTCAAACACTACAGGATTGCATTTTTTTGCGAAAGATGTGTGCAGGCATGGTGAAATAAAAATAAGGTGATGTCAGTTGGGGGGTTGTTGTAATTTTGACAAATTCGGTAGCCCTGTTCTGAATGATGCCCTCTTGAACAAAAACTACACTAGAAAAACTCCTCTCAGGTATTGTGCTGAAAACGTAAGAGTGAACATCACTGTCTTTGACATTTGTGTTTAGTTGTGACTTTTCCATTATTTAATATAATAATATTTTTTGCAAAAATTTATGTAACCAATTTTATGCCAAGTGGCAAATAAAGACTAATTATGTTTATCTTCCACAGATTTAAGAATTGTGTTTTTTATCTCAGCGAGAAGCTGCGATATAGTGCGATTTTTGGCTGCAAGTTCCAGGTGAGTTTATTCAATTGGCCAGGTTGTTAATAAAATGGTCAGTAAAAGTGCGTTTCTTGTTTAATAGGTTTTGGAAGCTGTGCCTGTTCACCTGCTAGAGGCTGCAATACAAGTAATAATTTTATAGTCTTTTAAAAATAAGAAAAAAACTTACTAAGAGTAGTTGTGTTTGTTTAAAAAATTATTCAGTAACTCGCCAGCAACTCTCCAATCCAAAAAAGTACGTGAACGCAAATCCAGTAATAATTATCAAGTTTCATGAACAGCTGATAAATTGGTTCTTTATTCGCAGCAAATTCCTAATAAAACAATATATTTCAATAATAAAAACCCAAAAACAGTTTCCTTATTAATTTAAATTGCATCCAGTAAGTTACAAGCAAAAATTTATCCATTAAAAATGCAATGAAAGCTTTGAACTTCAGCTGTTTCGCTCTCTCAATAAGTTTTTGCGTACGAAAACGCCAAAATATGAAAATTCGTACCAAATTTTCTGGATTTTACTGGAAATGGCTAAACCTAACACAACTATGGTTTATTATCTTTAACGTTGTTTTGGTAAAATAATTCTTTAATACATACTTTTTAAAAATAGTATTCAAAAGAGCGTTAAAATGGTCCTAAAATTTTCTCCTTTTTTTAGTACATTTATATGCATTGCCGAAATGTGGCTACCAGAAAAGTGAGGTTGTGGCTTTGTTTCTTTTCTTTTCTAGCAGATAATTATCAGGAAGAAGAAGAATGAGAAAATTGAAAGAATTACGCTCGCAGAGAGCGAAATAACGAAAAAAGTAAAGAAACGAAAAACTAGCAGAAACTAGCAAGTAATCAGCTAATCGGTGTATTTGACTAATGAAAATATTTGGCGCGAATTTTTGTTTATCCATTTTGACAGCTGCCAGTTTCTGCTAGTAAAAATTTTACTAGCAGAAATTAGCAGGAGAGCCAAAAAAGAAGAGCGTAAGAACGAGAGAGAGCTGCTAGTTTCTGATAGCTTTCTGGGTTAAGAAACGCTTTCCAGCAGAAATTAGTGATCATTTGTGATAATTATCTGTTAAGAAACAAGGCTTATGTAACTGACATCACCTTGGCTGTTCAGGATGTTGTGGAAATTATCTTGGGATTTGCAGTTTGAATTGCATTTGCAGATATTTTGCCTGCTGCCATAAGTTTTGGTATAACATAGAACATCTAAAGGTTAATCAAGTCAGCCCAATAACTCGAAATTGGTAAATTTGTATATTCATGCTTCTGGCATAAAGGTGACGATATATGTAAGTATGTATACTAATAGAAAATAGATGCTTTCAAAGCTACATAAATATTTATTTGGGGTTTTGAGCTACCGCCTTGTCGGTTACAGTTTCATTTAAAAGTATATCCCTACGACATTTTCGCAAGGCTTTACGCATTAGCAACTCTTGCAACTCCTGCTCTCTGCGACGTTCCTCCTCTTCCATTTGTCGTCTATACTCATCCGCTTCCTGTTCGACCTTTGATGATATCTCATTAACCAAATTCAAATTCGCCATTATACCTTTACGCATGAGGTAGGCAAAATTCATAGCAGTTGAATATTTTATGTCCATGCCACCGCGATTCGACAGCTCCTGCCAATGCATGTATAGCCAATTTTCATTCTTCAACCACTTGATACACTGCCACACCGGCACGAATTCGTCACACTTGGCCAAATAAAATTGTGCCACTTCTTGAATTTCGGGTTTTTCTGAGAAAATCTCATGTGTCTGCCACAAGGATTTCCGTATATCTTCAATGGAATTCCAGACTTCAACCAAATCGAGATTAATAAGCGGATTGCCAATAGTAGCCTCTTCGAGTTTCAAAAAGTCCAAGCAAGTCAACCACAACTGCCGATAGGGTGTAAAGCCAGTTATGATGCTATCGAGAAATTCTAGTGAAAGTTCTTCTAGATCGAAGAGTGTTTGCCGATATTGTAGAGTTTTGCCTAATTTCTCCATTTCTTGTATTTGCTTCCATGTTTTTTTAACCTATGATGGAAAGGAGGAGTGTGATGTTTAAAGTGAGGAATTGCTTAAAAAAAAGAAAGAGAGAGAGAGAGAAAGAAGTTTGAATCATGCTCGGGTTCGAAATATATGATTTGCATGGGGTGCGTATTTTTGTAGCAAACTTTACTGCTATAAGAACATTTTTCCAACGGATTTAGAGTCTGTTCATCTGAAGTTACCTTCTTGAACCTTGCGACTTGATAAAAGTGATTTTTAGGGCGACCTTTGTAGTAAACTAAGTACACCAGTGTGCCCACCGGCACCAGAAATACACAGTGGAAAACCCTCCAGTCATATCGAAAGTCAATCTTTGCATCGACAAGCCCAACTCGGATAAGCACAACACGCATTTGTCCAGAGAGCTTCTGTTACCAGAAAAAGCATCCTTAATTCAAGCTAACGGACATCCTGAATTCGAGCTAACGGACAGAGATATATCTTCATATCACTAAAGGAGATATCCATCCATCAAACTCACTGACCTGCGAGGTATACCTGGAAGGCATTAACAAGCAACAAACGAGGCTGTTGCCACAGGCACCAAAGTTAAGCGCGACAACATTAGAAACTTTGCGTTTACCCTGCCTCAACGCAGACCCGGCTGTTGAGGTAGGTTTAACTCCTACAAACCCAGGTTTGACCTTAACATCGCCGACAACAATAGCCACATAAGAAAATGGGTCCCACTGCACCTCCCATATTTTCGTGTGCCTCGTGTAAGGAAGGCTTAAAAATGTTCAGCCTATTCGGGGACAAATTAGTGACACAACAGCAAGGAAATCTGTAACCAGGACGAATCATACCGCATTATTTTTCACCTTTGACTTTTAGTGAAGGTAGCTAGGTCCTTTATACATGCATGATTCACCTGCTGAAGTCTTCAACAATCAGACGAATCGGGATCTCAGCCAAATTCGCCGGCCTGAGTAATTTGAAAAATCGGCGCTTAGTGTTGATATTTTGTGGTCAAAACTTGAAAACTAGTAGAATTGGAGCCGTATGGTAGTCCGCTATTACCCTCACAAACCAACCTCTACGCCTTGAGGCCTGATCTAGCGGTACCAAAGTATCAAAGTACAGAGCCGCAACAAGGCTTTTAAGTAAATTGCTGGCGCGCTTGGGAGAAAAGGCAATGTTTTTGGAAACCAGGACTGGTAGGACATAGGGGAAGGAACCTGAAGACTTTCATGTTAACGTGATTCGGTTCAGTAAAAATCATCTCTCCAGTAGACATCCGCTGTAGGCAAACCTGCTTAAAAAGCATATCGGGAATTTTTTCTTGGAGTTTGAGGACAGTTCAGGGAATCGAACGGACTGTAGAAAGGATTTAAACGCCATTACCCGGCAAAGGAAGAGTTCAAATTGGCAGCATAGATGTGCATGCTCAATATTTAAAGAAGTATTTTATAATAAGACAAAGTATCTCCTGGCAACCCATACAAATTCCCCGCGTTTTGGGAAACACGTCACTATTGAAGCAGTGAAGGACTGTCTACTTAAGATCCAACATAAACACCACCAACAACGTCAGAGGAAGCGAAGGATAACTCTGGCCTCTACAAATCCCCCAACATGCCCGTCCTTTTTATAAGGTGCAGAGATATGCACGATACGGAACAAAGACGAGAAGGCTTTGTCGGCTTTCGAGAAACCTATTCCACGCAATATCTTTGGCCTTGTTCGCTTGGGCGAGGAGTACCAAGAAGATGGTATGACGAACTTTTCGAGCTTTGAACAACATGAACATAGGTAAGCGCATAAAAATACAACGATGGTGCTGGCTTGGGTATACTGTCCGCTCGGATGTTGACGCTACGGAAATGGCGCCCACGAACACAATGGAAGAACCAAGTGCAGAAGGACCTGTCTGTACTCGGAATGCACAACTGGCGCAACTTCGCAAAGGAGGGAGGCAATAGGCGAAGTGTTTTGGTCTCGACCCGAACCGATGCGCGGTTGTAAAGCAAAAATAAAAAGAAAATTATGTAGTTTGGAATTAATTTCAGTATTCTTTTTCGAAAGAAATTTGTACCAAAATACTCTGCCGGAAGCACTGATAGCAAAATTAAATCTGCAGAAATTTTAGTCGATAAAAATGTTCTCTTTTAATAGCCGTCTCGTTTTGGTGCGGCCTCGTCTAAGGAGCTGGACGATGACAATAATTCCGGTCTCACGACAGTCGGGCTACATAACCGGAACGACACTTCAGTATCTTCTTGGGGAATTTGTATGCCACCAGCCTATTCCAGCTAGGCTGCATTTAGAAGGCTACTGAACTCACTGATCCTCGCGCCCTTAATCAAATCACTACCTTACGCCACACCCGTACTCACCTCCACGGCCGTCTCGGTCACCTTATTCGGATCGAATATTAGCGAGAATGCTTGTATCTCTTCGTTTAGCGATTCCAAACGTTCTTCAAAATTTATACACTCACTGGAATGAACGCGTCGAAATTCTTCAATATCATTCTTTTGCTCTTCTCGTAACGTACTTAGCCGTTGCATAATATTATGTGGCCAAGCATATACCTGCCATTTCATATTGAAATGCGTATCACTAAGATTATAGAAGAAACTATCCAACATCTCATATTCCAGCCACATTATCTGTATATTAGCGCGCAACTGTTCGACTACGTCCGGCACGGTGGCAGCAAAATCGCGTATCTCATAAAGATGCTCTATACTCTGCGGTCGACCGCTAATTTTTTGATATATTTCCAAGCATTGATCGAGAAGTTGTTCATTTATGTCCCACATACGCCGTATATAGTATTCGAAAAGTTTCTTAATAATCTCTATATGCTTTCTGATCATTAATTGCTTCATTATGTCCACGTTTATTTGACATGGCCCGATTGTAATATTGGATGGTAATATCTCACGTAGTTCTTGTTTCTGTCGTTTGTGCTCTAATATATCTTGCTTCACCTCGGATGAGGAATGTTTCACCGATTCGTATGCTTTCATAAAATCGGTCACATGTAGCAGGTAGAAATCGATGAAACGTTCGTAGAGGCGCGCATACGAGTTTAGAGGTATAGCAGCTTGTACATAACAACGGCCCAACAACTCATTCCATAGAATGAACAGATCTTCAATTAGTTCGACCGTCTCAATGTAAAGATTGGGCGCAAACTTCAGATTCAACAAAGTCTCGGCCTCAATACAACGTACGCCGCTAGTCTTTTCCAAAGCTTTCTTAAAAAGCTCAGTTAATTGCGGAGAGAAGTCTTCCGGCGCGGTTGAGTAGACCACCTTCTTTTCTTCCGATATGCTGATGGCCAAATAGAAGATCGGTTGGGCATAAGGAAACTCAGTTTCAATATAGTTACTCGTCCATTTATAGTCCGGTTTGAGATCCAATAATTGTAAACATGGATCTGTCAAATATGTGCTGAAATTGATTAGAGATTTCTCAAGCAACACCTGCATGGATTCTTGCATGCGAAATCGCGTCTGCAAGATGAAACGTGATATCTTGCACATCTGATAAACGGACCAATTGCTCAGACTGATGTCCAGCCAACCTTTGCCGAGCGCGCGCAGCACCAGCGTAATGCCGGCGGAAATCTTCTGTGGCCAAAAATTCTTCAAATATGTGGCAACATTTTTGCTATTCGATTGCTGTATTTGTAGAAAGTCCACAAGTGGTACTGGTTTAACGAAACCTGTCAAGAAAATGGACAAGGTTTCAATATACTGACATTGTTGGGCTACATTGGACATAGCCTCGATGCCGGCGCCGATATAGAAGATTGTCGCATGCAAGAGCCAGCAGCGTAATTCCTTTATATCGACCTTGTAATGCTTAACACTATTGGCCTCCTTTATATTCTCCAGCGATTTGAAGAACCGTGGCAATGAGTTCGATATAAGACTACCACCGAAAGTGGGGAATTCCTTTGGCATAAGCTTCACGAACTTTTCAAACTCATAACAAGCCATTAGACGCTCGAACACGAGATATACTTCGGTACGTATTTGGCGTTGAACGTTCTCGCTAGCCCTGCCGATTATCTTCTCCAGCAAGCGGTCGATACGTTTATTCGACATGAAGCGGTCATCCTCCAAATCCTGCAACAATACACAGTCGACAATTGATTCCATTTGGATTTGACGCTCGGCATTGTTGCGCTCCTCTACGGCTTTTTTCAGACGTTGCACGAAATTGCGCGGATTGTCAGCGAGAAACATTATCTGTACGCTAGGTACTTGATATACGCATTCGTCATTTAGTGCCAGCACCGTCCATTTATGTGTCTGATAGTTGTAAGCGGTTACCGCAGCAAATTGCCATGCATAGTCCTTAAGGCTTTGCGAGTTGGGTAGATATACTTTGGCTGGCAGTGGATAGTCACCCTCTTCCACCTTACCCAAAGCGAGCCAAGCTTCCGGTGAGTTTGAATCGTAGTTTGAGTTATCGAAGAAACTGAGTGGCAAAAAGTGTTTAAATGCATTTTCCGAAAGCGCGTAGTATAGCTCTTCCGTGGGCATAAGATCCTCATTGGTTACGCCGGCCTCCTTCAACATTTGCAGTAAATTAAGTTTACTGTACTGGCGGCGCCGACGATCAACTTCAACATCGCGTGGCAATTGCTTTGGCGGCACGGTACGCATCATCTGCACCTTGGGCAAAATGGTTTGAAGTGGGAATTTGTGTTGACGTCCATTCTTACCCGGTAATACAAGCCATTTCTGTGCAGTCTCGGTGTGGTACTGACTGGATTCTAAGAACTGCGTTGAAATGACGATTTGTGGGAACTCCGACGGACGTTCGACGATAATTGGCGGACATTGGCCACGTTTCTCTTCGCGCTGTATTTCATCTTTCGGTGCGGTATGCTTGAGTATGTTTGTAGAGTAAAAGCGACGCATCTCTTTGGAATGGTGCGTGAAGTATTGGCGAAGCAAATATTTGCAGACGTTTTAATAGACGTTTGAAAAAAATTTCGGTTTAGGATAGTTTTTAGATGTTTTCTTGTGATATATTTTTTCTAGCTGATCATTGTCGTATGTTAAAATTTTTCAGGAAATATTTGGGGTTGGAAAATAAATTAAAATTAATGGGAAGTAGTTGGTATTTTGTGGCTTTTCGTATTTTGGTAGTTTGGAAAAGTGGACGATTGACACATTTCGCGGATAGTTGCTAGTCTCCATGCGAACGCGTCTCTGTCGTCGATAAGAGTGAAGCGGTCGAATTGGGTAAATGAATAGCGTCTGCCTCAGAGTGAGCAGCTAATAAGGTCAATGTGGCATGTCCACGGCTGGAGCGTCATGGAATGTTTAAAATTGTTAACTTTTTTGGTTAGGAGGTCGGATCTTCCGTACCGGAGACAGGGTGCATTGAGCAACCGGGTTGCTTGTCGTAGTCACACTGCGACCACAAAGCTACAGAGGTGGAAACCTTGATCAATGTCTGAGATAATGTCATATGTCTGTAGAAAATGATCGCTTAAAGAAAATCGCTCGGTGTTAATGAAAAGCCGTCTTAACTGAAGCTCCCTTCCAAATAAAACATCGCAGCGAGTCCTAACAGTTTTTGGTATCTGCATGAAAAACATTTAAAGAGTAGAGTCCGTTTTACATATAACGAACGTAAGAGAAGCGCACTACTCTTCAAGTAATCAATATGCTCCAGAGCTGTTTAACATGATTTGTGCGATTTGACTAAGGTTACCTTTGCAGTGAATCTCTCTTTTCAAGGTGATGGGTATATTTACAGATCAAGCGCTGTCTTCTCCAGCGATGTCCAACATGCATACTACAAGGGACGATCATTTGAAACAGCCTTGCACGAACAATCACAAGATACCTCGTGCTAAACGTATTTCTGCTCTGAAACAGCCTTGCACGAACAATCACAAGATACCTCGTGCTAAACGTATTTCTGCTCTGTACTAAATCGCAAGCCAATAACGTTGTTGCGTAGGCAATTGGCTTAGTTCTCCTGGTTGTAGGAAACATCAGTTCGACGGTGGTCATTGAGATACTACAATCTGTACAGAACGACTTGGTAAGATGGGCAGAAAGAAACGGTCTTGGGTAAATCCCATTAAAATTTATCTGGGTATTTTAACGAAGCGATGTAAAGCAGACCATTTTTGAACTCCATCACAAGGGACGCAAATCGAGGTGAAGTTTTTTGGGGTTATTTTAGACTTTCCGGAAAAGCTATAGACAGGGATAGAGCAGGAGTCAGAGGTACTTGTGGACATTCCACCTCTGGAATGGACCCGACACTTAATATCATTCTAACCGGTGACAATATCCCGATATTCCCAGATGGCTCCAAAATTAACATTAGAAGATGATTTTGCGTCGTCTTTCAGGCACTGTCTTTGAGAGGGGGCTGCAGACTCCCCGATTACTGCAGCACGTTACATGCTGGCACGTGATTGACTTGGCGGCGATCGAATTGGCTTCAACAAAACTTGCCTGCGTTGAGCTGCTATAAAGGCCGATGGAGCGCTAAAAGCTAACTCGATATGCATTCCAGGAATGCCGAAGATGCCAGCAATCTTTACTGGCCGTCGGGACACAGTGATATAGTGGGGAATGAAGAAACAGAAAGTGATCTACGATAGAAATTGTCTTCTTGAGTTGAGAACGTGGACAGATCAACTAAAACCAGGAGATTTTGTAACCCGCGTATATGCACTGTATCGCGTTTACTTTGGCCACTGCTCAATGAACGCAAGACACGGAGTTAGTTAATGCTCTTAAAACATTGGCCATCGGAGCTCCGCATAACGATTTCTGTAGACGCTGTAGAGAGGAGGAAAACATAGAATCTATCCATAATTTCTACGGTGAGTGCTCTGCACTGCGGAGAAAATTCTCAAATTTCAAAATTAAAATTATCGTTGACCACTACTTCGCGCGCATAAACAGCTTCGAGAACCCCCTGCTGAAGGTCTGCTGGTATTAGTTAAAAAATTAGGACGGTTTAATGACATGTACAGGCAGATATGGGGAAATGCTCTCCTGAGGATCATAATGGGCATGTGCGATATCATATTGAACTGTTTAACAAAATCTGCTCTAATAAACTAGCCAACCTACCATTTTCACTACCTTGACTATTACCATGATCAGTATCAATATAATTACCATTACCAACATGTCCATTATGAACATTATAACGATTACCATTACAAATACTTTCACCATTACCATTGCCATTGCCACTACCATTACCATTACCCTTGCTATTACCATTAGCATTACCATTCTAACACCATTACTTTAATCATTATAAGTAACGTTCCACTACCAATATAATTTCCAACGGCATTATCATTATTATTACCATTACCTTTTGCATTACAATTATTATTATCATTACCATTACATCTAGCATTAGAATTACCATTACCACCATCAAACCCATTACCAACACCATCACCATTACGATTACCCATACCATTACTAATACCATTATTACCAATACCATTACCATTCACATTGCCGTTGCCATTAGCAATACCATTACCATCATCAACTATCACGGTAGTCTTTATTATTAACAATACCATTACCGTTACTCTTTAGAAATACCAATGCAAAAACATTGATTCATTACTAAATCCTTTATTTGCACTGCTGTCCTGCAACTATAATTAAAATACTTCTAAACTACATATAGCACAACAAACTAAAATCGTATTTATATATCAGTTTATATATACTACGCATAAAATTACAAGATTTAATATAATAATAGTCCACTTCGCCTGAGCCTCATTTCTCAAAATCGCCGCATTAATTGCATCCTTGGCATAATCGAAAAACATAACCGATAGCATAAGCGGCACTTCGATTACTTCATCCAATTCGAATTCCAAATCATTACGGTCACCGAACGTCAATGTGGCGCGCTTCACCAACGCCTGCTGCCGTATACCTGCTGCAGTGAAATGACCCACTAGGAACTCGTAACCAATATTGAGCAACATATTGCGACAACTGAAACTTTGCGTTTGCGTATGAAAATCACCGCTTACGGGCGCAAAAAGTTCGTGATTTCGTACTTGTAGCAGCGTCCATTTATCGCTGCGATTCTGCGGACGCCCCAGCTGTGAAATGTGTAGATCGGGGAATTTCTCACCAAATCGAAAAACGTCAGCGTTAAAGAATTGTGCCAGGATTTGCGTTTGCATTTGAATGCAAATTTCTGTGAAGTTACGTTCCGCTTGTGGTAATTTCGCTAGACTCTCGTTGCTGAAGCGCAGCTTGCATTGCTTCAAAGTGCTTATGCCATAATTTATCAGATTAGCGGGATCAGTGTCGCGTGTGCAATATTGCCGTTGTGTGGTGAATAAGGAAATTGTGTGATTTGTTTGCGATTTAGTGCTATTGACATGGAAATAATCTATTATTTGATTTGTGGGCGTTAATGCTTCACTTCGATTATTTGCTATAAAACGTGCTATAATTATGGGTTTGCCTGCTTGATAGCCCAACGGACCTGAGGTGAGTTTCGGCACATTTTCGTGTGTGTAGGCTGTGTCATTAACGACTGGCTTGCCGCTTGCATTTCTATAAATGTATTCCACCTGGTATTTTTGCCATACCTCCGTAAGGTCGAGTGACTCACGTTGGCCGCGCAATTCCAGCAAGCCATCCAAGATTTGTGTGTAGTTATGTAGTAACTTAAGTTTTATTTCTGTGGCGTAGAAATGCTTTAGTTTAAGCTCGCAAGCGGTGTTATTAATTGGCGAAACTGATTCACATAGCTCCTCTTGACAAATATTTAATTTAAGTTCACTTAAAATAGGCGGCAGCTGCTCTGGTTCGTTGGCCTCTTTTATTGGCTTCAAAAGTAGTTTATGATTTTGTATAAATATTAGTAATTTTCTGGTGTTTAAATTTAATTCATCAGTTGTGCTTAGTAGACAGGTAAGTTTATGCGAATTCAAAAATTTGACAGGTTCCTTGATATGACAGTGTGGCTGTTTGAAGGTATGTGGAAGATCTGTCGTGTGATGCAAAGAGAGAGGAAGGATATATTTTGGAGAATAAACAGGATTATAAAACTACTCACCGAATTCTTTGACTATTTTAGTTTTCATATCTAGAAATTGTAGTGGTTCGCCATATATATAGTGATCAAAATTTGCATTCGCCTGCGGCTCGCTGTCGATGTCCCAAACAGGTGTAGACCATTTAAGGTAATGATCTGTATTGAAGTCTATCGCTGGTTCCTTAAGTGTAAGAAATGATTTTGTAAATATACGAAATAGTAAAATTTATATTTTTAGTTAGCATTTACTGCTTAAATATTATATTCAAAGTCCATCAGCGCGTGTACAGTGTGCCTATTTAAGTTTCGATTGCTTGCGGGCTTCTCTATTGTAGCACAGATCTCGCTCTCAATATACATATATTTTTTTCATAACCTACCAATAAACGGATCAACAAAACCTTTGAAAAATATAACCCCAAAGCTCCAAGGTGTCCACATCTGAAAGCAAAACTACGATTTAGAGATATGCCCTTGAATTATTGAACTTTTCATAGGGAAAGTTGCCCTAATGAATAGCTGGAGGACTCGAGATATAAAACTGACTTTAACGAAATATGGCTAGCATAAGACGTTACCCGAATCGGGTATGGAATTCGTGGAAGTCGGAGTAAACACTAAATAAGAATAACAGGACCAGAATAGCTAAGTAAGAGTTCTGTTAATTTAACCCGGCAATCGAAAAACTCTTCCTTCAAGCGAATACCTCTAACAACGGGGAAATGCGGTCCGAATTCGGTACAACAAGGAAATAAGTAGCGAGTAGTACTAAATAGACATCATCCACAACTCTACCAGGTTTTGCTCAATACGTGGGTCTATTTCAACTAAGATCGTTACCAAAGTACATACGTCTGCTATGCTACAAGAACATCCGCCAGGTTGTGGGATGATGCTGCAATCATAATAAAAAGCCAAGAACAGTTCCACACGACTTCCAGTTCTACTTGAATTGGTAGGGTCCTTATTTAAATGAGTAGTGTAACTCCAATTTCTAAAATCTTCGTACCGCTGTGAAAGAGAGTTTGAGTCGCTAGCCAGCAGAAATGCAAATACAAAACGATGTTAACGAGATAAGAAGGATATAGTTTACGGATTAGGTCTGGACAGCAAATGGGCATTGGATATCTGATACTATAAGGCCAACGTATAATTTCGATATGGAAGACATACCCAGACTAATACATACGAATCTCACGATTCTTCATTCGACAAAGGCAAAGTAATAATAGCAATAATGCGGCTGAAAATAACCAACCTCCTGAAGTCGCTGATATACCGGCTGAGCTATTCAAAGCCGGCGCTATTGGAAAATAAACCTTTTTAGTTTTTTATTATTTTTTTTTATGTTGGGTTGAACCGGTCTTGAACTCAGGCTCTGGGGAGTGGTAGCGCGCACTGCTAACCACTACACCACAGCGGCCGCCATACTTTCATATACTCTACATATATTCGGGACAACACAACTAACAGTTCTATTCCTTTTGTTGAGTTTGACGATGACGATTAAAGATTTACAGCGGTCGCCCGATGACAGGCAGTGGCTAAGGCTAACCCACGAGTGTGTTTGCCGTTCGGAAGCGACGTAAAAATGTAGGGTTTTCCAATTATGCAACAACATCAATACATACACCAACAGTTGGAGGAGAAAAGCAGGAAAACACTAGGCAAAAGTTTAGGTTAGGAGGGCGTAATTACCGAACATACATGTTTTTATTACAGATTCGGATTCTGAGGATAAAAATATGTAATTTTGGTTTGATGCTTTTTTTTGCAGATAGGTACCTACTCGCCATCCTTGGTGCATTAGTGGAAGAGCCTCGTGAAGTGTGAAAACTAAACGGTGGTAGTACAGAGTTATCCGCCTCGTTAACTGGCAACTTAGAGTCGTATCTGGTCATCTAATCAGCCGACTCGTTCCCTTCAATATTGCTACAACTGGGGAACCAGCGGAGAGTGAAGTTGATATGGCTCTCTCTTGGGAGAGAAGAAGTGGGAGCTTTTGACCAGACCAGTTTGGTCTGGGAGAGATTAACACCCAATCCGTACTGGCAAAAGTGTAAATGCCTAATATTTTATATATTATCGTCTTACCTTCTGCAGTTCCTGCCGTGTATTCGTCCGAAATACACACAACCATCCATCGTTCACTTTACACGATGGCAGTCCATGCTGATATTGAAAATCCTCCAAACGATTTTTTAACTCTGGTTGCTTTGGTGCCGCATTACAATTGAATACATGCAGCGCCTCCGGTGAACAATCTCTATCACAACAACAATTTAAGTCGCAAGCATCCCACAAGAGATCACAATCACAATAGTACGAGGCGGCGTGAGAAGGTGGCACAGTTAGCGGGGTACCCTGAACATTATTTGAATCGAGGGTGGTATTGGCGATTGTGCTGCTTACTGTAGTTGGCGGTGTTGTAGATGCGGCTGCAGTAGTTGTAGTAATTCTTGGTGCTTTCGTAGTTCTAAGACGTGGTGGAAATATGGCGATAGTAAAGTTGGGCTTTAAAGTGGTAGGTATTGGATTCTTGGTAGTGGTTGTTGTGGAGCTTTCTATATCTAAGTCGGTAATATCGGTTATTACAGTGCTTTCTTCTGTTAAAGTTGTTATTGCGGCAGCTGTACTTGGTGTAGATTCAGTATTGGTCTCGTGTGGCTGCTGCGTAGTTGTTGTTGTAGTTGCAGACGTAGTGCTGGTGTTCTCTTGATTTGCTCTTGAAACGCCAATTTTTATGGCTGCTGCAGCGTGCAGCAACATTAATGTCAATGCGGCTGAAAGAAATCCCTTCATTTTGTTGGCTCGGATTTGATTCATTTAAACTCTACGCCGAATTTAGCGAAATTGCGAAAGATCAAATTGAGATCGATGATAACTTTTCCGGATGAGCGAGTTTGCAGTTTGTATCTATAAGAAATATATATGTATGTAAGTGGTAAGGAGGACACTGAAGTAAACAAATTTGAATTGCAATCCTGCAGTGATTAAATAGAAATAACCAATTTTTTATTGCAGAGGCGGAAATCAATCGTTAGATCAATCAATTAACAAAATTTTCATTTTTAGATCACTGCGAAATTGTGATTTTATTACAACGCTTTTATCAACTTGCAATGTTCTGTGTCCAGAAACTTTCAATGTTGTGGATCCAGAAACTTTCAATGTTGTGTGTCCGACACCATAAAGCTTTGCTTTGAAAAGTTCCTATAAAAAAGCATAGTGCATATGGCGACACCTGTAGTGAATAGGGCGAGGTAGATGACATCTAGATGTCGCCCTATGTACTACGTTTGCTACAACGGAAATAGACGACACGCCATTTCTTTAAATAAAATTAATTGGTGCTCGTTTGTATGTACATACATAT